TCAGCCGCATAATTTATACTATTGAGTACTTTAAACAATTGATTACTGCGGGCTGACTTATCGAGTCTGTCTGTGTAGTTAGTAAATTTATTTAATTTGCCTAATTTATCTAATTTATCTATTGTAGTATTTACATCAAAAATTTGCTTCATACTATGCTTGCCACATTGGCATCCCATTTATATGTATGCGAAACAAATTTAATTCCTACATTATTCAAGCTACTGTATATTATGTATATACGTCCACCCTTGGCTTTCCAAAACATATATTTGATATTTTTTTATTTCTAGCGAACAAATAAGTGATTAGAATCATTGTTAATTTGGGGGATTTGATGGTAATTTCTTGTTATATAAATTAATAGACGTGTCGTCGCCAGTTATAATTTAAACCCGAATAATAAGGGCGCGAACTAAATATTTCATCCAAGTTTCTCTTTATTAATCTAAATGTTATTATTATTCTCTTTTTCACTAATATTCTTTGACTACAATGATTAGATCACTATGCCAATCGTGTCAATTATCTATAGTAGTTATGCTCTGTTCACAATTGGCAAGGAACATAATATAGCTGTTCGCCGAAATCATTTTTTGAAAAGTAGTTACAACAATCATTTCGGTTCTTCAATATTCTTTATATGAATGAACTATGCTATTTGATTTAAGGTTTCAAATAATTTCGGATATAATTTCAGCAACTATCAAGATTAATTAATTATGACTACCATGAAAAACTATTTCGGTAAACATAACCATGACCAGGTTTTGTAAGGTCTTTAGATACATTTATAGTATGGACATCTAGATACGAAAGAAGTGATTGAAACTGGGTGATCTAGCAGACTGGGTGTCTTTTGACAAGGAGGATGATGATTTCCAATTTTTCTATTTATACAAAGAATAACCCATATCGCAACTCAATATCTTGAAATTGTTATCTCCATCGAATAAGTAAGTATCGGGTATTTATGTATTAAACTTGTCGTTAACAACTCATGTGCCTCATCAATACAACAAATATCTATTGGGGAATAGATTGTACACAAAATTCCTTCACTTTGTTTTTAATGAAGGTTGTTTTTGCGGAGATAATTTAAGGGCCTCGTTCCAGAAATCCACGCGTTTACATTTATGGTGTGGTCAATTTCAATCTGGATCTTCTAAAAAAATTTTTGCGTATTTCAGTTCAATCATAAATTACTTGAATTGTTGCATATAAAAGCATTTCGAGTTTGTAGCTCTTACTTTATTAAAACCAAGGATGTTGAAGAGGACATCCGCTACTACTTTCTTGACATTTGCAAACATAAAGAACATAGGTTCACTTGGTATTAAGTTCCCACACAAGTCGTATTTGCCGGAACCAGAGCTTTAAAGTATTGTAAGAAACATAAGGATTTTCCTCTGTTGCCATTTATCATGGAATAACTTTGGTTATGCATAGAAGACATATAAAGTAGTGCCTGATATGGAAATTGAAATGTTTTCTCAATATAGTTTGCATTGCATCTGTAAGAATAATGAATGTAGGATACAATAAGCTTTATTAATAAGAGAACCATACCAGAGCACTAAGATAATAATGCTTAGTTATAAGAACAACAATTAGATTTTCTAGCAGACAAAGTATGTGACAAAAATAAGCAGAATTATGATAACCTTCTTTATCCAAAGAAAGAGAGTGGTCCAAAGATGGTGACGGGAAACAAAAAAGCACAAATTAGTCAATGTCATACAAACAGTATACCATACATTCCTTCAAATAAAAGAATCTCTGCCATGATAATTATAAACTGGCTAAAGTTACAAGCGAAGTTTATCTAGTTTCAATTCTTTTCCAATTCTTTGGCCTCTGTTTCCATCTTCTTTCGAAAATTTTCTAAGTTTGAAAATTCTTGGGCAAGTTATTGAACTCTTCCATTTGATGCAATGTATAAGAGAAAAAGAATGAAAAAATATATTCTAGATCACTTGGTAAACCACAAGGATTTTTAACCCTGAAATTCTTTATGTGATGACGTAATGTTCACTTTAAAATATGTTTATTGATTGATTACTACTTAAAATTAAAAGACAAAATAAATTAATATTGACTTTTTTTCTTGGTGTAAGAAATAAAAATTCTCTTTAGGATAAGGCTCATTACGATTTATAGCATGTATAAGTAAAGAAATTATGAATATACATACATGCAATCTTTTAATTTCGTAAAACGCAAAATTTGTTTATTGTTATATTGTTGTTATTGTTGTTATTTAAAAGATTGACTATTTTTTTGATGTTTTTAGATGATCTGCACCATATAAGAAATCTATCCCACAATAGTTAAAAACTTACAAGAATTAATGGCACGACTGTTGCTTCTAAGAAAAACAAGAAAGGTATTAATTAAGTGCAGAATACGGGCGACTATCATAGTCTCATTAGTGGAATTTCCATATTATACCAAGATATACTGAAATCTTGCCAGAACATAAATAGAAATATTACTATGAAATTGCAATAAAAATAATTAATTCCTTTTGCTTTTTAGAAGTTTTGCTATCTTCACTTTGTTCCCATCCCATATGATAATCACAATTTTATTCTCAATTTTTATGGGATGCCATTGTGTAAATGATTACAATCACGGCGGACCTGGTTCGCGTTATAACGGATTTTTAAAATTTTTACTCTGCATAATAATAATAATAATAATAATAATATAAAATCCGTTATGACGAGATTAATAATTATGTAGTAGTAGAACATTCTTAGAATATAAATGACTTCGTGTCACTATGTGTCTGTTTTTGTATGTTTCATGCAAGTAAAAAGATCTGGGTTCTGATCCGAGCCCTTTACGTGCATATTTAATTTATTAATATTAAAATAAAATAGGTTGATCAAACGTTTAACTGATCTTGCCATCTTATAAAAAAGATCCAGTACTACTAATCAATAATTTCCGATTTTTACTTTTAATTTTTTTTTTCTTCCTAGAAAGAAAAAAATGACAAAAAATAATTCTATAATTATAAATAAATCGACAGCGCCAAAACCTTCAATACCTTTCACTATATTACCAAGTCCTTTTCAAACTGTAATTGTGATCAGTGCAGCACAACATCAACAAGCCATACAAAAAGTAAACGAACTTGATAGTGAAATCAGAAATGCTGGAGGTACAATATATCTAACACATATATATACACACATACGCGTATAGTGTATTGCGAAAAAAATGGTATTTACAATGCGAAGTTGTTTCCTAAAACAATAATAAACAAAAGATGTATTTATTATAAATCATTATGTTCAATGAACGCATTTATGGAAAAAAATTTCTCTCTTGCCGCTTAAAACCTTTGAGCCTTCAAAAACACATAGTTAATACAAAGCATTTATCATTGTCAGCAGACACCCATTAGAAAAACGCGACATGACATAAAAAAAAGAACGTCAAAAGATATTAATATTAGTGAATGAATGTAAAAAAAGCCAAAAGTCCTAAAGACAAATATGTACAAAAAATATGACAACGTTATTTCATATTTGTTTAATAAAGCATTCAATGGGATTTTAAATGAATCCAATTTAATTTAATCATCTTTTACAATTGTCGAGATGTCGATTTTTCTCATGCCATTTTTTTCGCAACGCATTGTATAAGTTAATTTTGACCAAGAAAAATTTTTTTTGATAATTATTAATATTTTATTTATAAAATAGTAAATTTGGTGCTTATTCAAGAAGTTAGCAAGAAGCAAAAGGTTGATTATTCAACTATTATTTCAGAATTGATTCCTTTATATGGAAAAATCAATCGATTAATTCCATTATATTATATTGTAACAAAGAATAACGATACGGCAGCAAGAAATCTCATAAGTATGGTAATTATTGTATATTTTATTTCTTCGAAGAGAAAAAAAATTCATCATTATAACATGCATTCATAACTATTCGTAATATAGAAATATCTTATCCAACAACAAATTATATCATTACCTGATGAACAATATTTCTTAAGAATTGACGAATTACAAAGACACAAAGAATTACTTTATCAACTTGAAAAATATGAACATGCAATAGAAAAATTACAAAATTATGGAGGTTACATTGCATGTAAATTACAGTACATTACACGAGATCATGAAGAAACATCTTTATTATCATCTTCTTCTTCCTCTTCTTCTTCTTCATTGTCATCATTATTATCCCCGAAAAATTCATTATCATCTCCAACAAAATCAACAGCAGCACTAATGAATGATCAGAATGATGTTAACAAAAGAGAAGGGGATGGTGACGATAACAATGATAACAATGACGAAGACGATGATGAAGGAGAAAATATTTACGGATTGGGATTTACAACTAAGCTAAGTTCTGGGGCAGGTGCACTTGCAAAATTTTTATCTTTGGTTGAAGACGATGATTCATTTGGTCAACTTTCAAGTCAAGTTGGGGATTTATTTGTACCAAGGAAATTTTCACATAATAATAACACAAACAATCTTAACAGTAATTATATCAATAATTTCATTTTCATATGGGAATAAAAAAAAAAGTTATTTTTAATTAATACATTATGATATCATTACAGAAAAGGAAAACGATGATGATGGGAAGAATTAAGAAATTCAAAGTGATCTAAAAGATTGCTATTGTGATCCGATGATTTTTATGGATATTAATAATATAATAATAATAAATATAATTCATGTTTCACCATTCTTTAAGTTATCTATCGACTGTAATGTATTTGGTTTTTAATAATCCGTATTTAGCAGCATCTATTATCTTTGTCTCTATGGGACTGTGATGGTGTAATGGTGTAATATGTAACTTTATTCTTTTCCCGTTGGCTAATAACTCTGCAATTTTCTTTTTTTGTTCTCTAGTTGGGTTCATATGTATTTGTTGATTATTTGTATTCGATCTATCCGGCATGATTGTAATTACGTGATATGCTTGTTAATTGTATCGATAAAAAAAATCCTATGTTGTATACATAATTTAATTTATTTAATCAAGTGGGCATTCTTTAGGTGGTATTACTATGAAATAAACAGTTAGTTCAGGCATACATTTCATCATATATTTTCACATTCACTGTTGTATTCCATGCATTTGTTAACTAAATGTGCTCCCTGCATGCAGTATCCACATTTTCAGTTTCATCCAGTTACAATAATGTACAACATTCAGAAATGCGTGCTAGTAATTCTTCCTTGTTGGTGCTAAGGTTTGATTACTTTCATAGCATCATCTACATCTATATCTTCTTCATCTTTATACATGAATAATTCTACAAGCTGCTTTATTAATTTCTTGATGTTATTGCGCAAAACATTATAATTATTTAAACTTATTACAGTGGAATTTTGTTCTTTATCATTAAATTTCATTTTACCTTTTACTAATGCCCGCTATGGCATTGGTTTTGCTTCAATTCTTTATAAATTGAAAATTCATCTTCAAAATTATATTCACAATTCTGTGACTATACCTAAGAGAGCATCAAGAATAATATATCGACCCACGACATTTTTTCGATTGACCTACTATATTTTAATTGGTAAAGTTTATAAAAAATATAACGGCTATTCCTATACATAGTAAAAATATTACTTTATCCATTTATCTAGATTCTGTAACGTTTGGGGTTTACCATCAATACCCTAAATCGCCTTAGTCTTGGATCCTGTCTATTAATATTTATCATTATAAATTGGATGATTTAGATTTTTATCACTTCCATGATCTTTTATTAGTTGTGGGCTTATAACTGATATATACTTCCTTTTAATTCTTGAACAATACCCTCAGCTTATATTGCATCAATTCTTTTGCCATTTCATTAAGATATACCATTTGCTTTCCGGGTTGTAATTAACTTTCTTTGCCTTATTATAGTGAGGAATGATGCGCTTTCTCCGATCTATTCATCCTTCTGTTTTGCATACTTACGGGTTGTATATGGTTTGGCTTTGGGTTTCTTTGGTTCGAGTAGTTTTGCCTTCCGACCCAATTTTATGGGTATGAGGCTGCCACATGCTCAATTTCCCCTCCGATCTCTAGTAGGTCACCCTTCCTGTTTGAATGGATTTTTGGTGAGTACGTTGCTAAAACAGTGGACTATTTGGTTTTTATATCGATTCCTTCACCCCTTGTTTTTTACACCCATTGGATATAAAAAATATTGAATTGTAGGGGTAAGTTGAAGATGGTTCGCATGCCATCAAATTGCAATAGTAAATTCTTCAATTTGATGAGCTAACGCTTGTTCATTAGCTAAAAAATTATTAAATGATTATTAAATTCATTATCTTCATCCACTACTGGATTTGTTTATAAATTTTTAATCACCAGGAAGAATACATGTCTCGCATAACAGGTTTTATTGTACAACAGACCAGGAACCGAGCAACATAATCAATAACTTGTTTCAAATCGAGCTTAGACCTAAAAAAAATTAGATGAAAAAGATTCAATGTAAAAACATTCAACTATGCTGGCAATATTAATTGCTTATACAGTCGTTCCTGCCTAATTGCATATGATACCTTGGTCCCATATTGGGGCTTATGAGCTATTTGCGTTCTGGTACTATATGTATAGATCAAACAAATGTTACCATGTAAATTTAATTTTTATCAAAAAAACCAAGTTAATAACTTTAGTTCAGAAAATACCTACTCTTAAAGCTTTGAAGCTCAGGTATATTGAGAATTTTTGCAAATGTTTTAGCTTCTTCAATTAAAATTTAGTCTGTTAAAGCACATTCTTAGAGTGCATGTTCAAGTTCAGGATATTTCACACCACGCGTTTTTTTTTGCTGTGGGTTTGCTTCATTGTTTAAATACTCGGATGAACGTTTTAATGTTCGGGAGACAGTTGTTTGATCAACCTTTGAACCAATTCTTGTTCACGCAAAGCAGTCGATCCTTTTTAAATAATTTTTGGATCGTTTTGCTTTTTAAACAAATTTGATGGCATTTAAAGTAATATTTTTCATTGTTGGCCGATTTGTTTTTTTGGATCCTATTTTCAAACCTTATATTTTACTGTGTCCCGACGTTAAACACGTTAAACATGATGTGTAAACTGGTCAATAGAATGATAATTAACTCCCAAAAAATATATTTGCTCTGCTAAAAAAATTATTTACTATCCGATAGCCCGTCAAACCAATGGCCCCACCTCAAAACCAATGGGTTTTTGCTAGTATAAAGTATTCATACCGTACTGGATTTTGGGGTTCAAACAAAATCAGCGCATATGATGTGAATAAATTTATCACATAATTTACGCCACATGACTTTACATTGGATAAACACGTGATAACGTGAATATGAATACTCTATTCGCATACATTTGTATATAGACAAGTACGACTGTATTTAGTTTGAAAGTCTTGATACATGGCTTATTGGGCACAAGTAAATTTGAAACATTAATTGTACCAAAACATGAGGTGCCCAAGTACTAATAGCCTCAATTTTTGAGCATCGGTTGAATTTACAGCAATAAGAACTATTGTTATATATACAAGGCTTGACCTTAAAAAAAAAATAAGAAAACATAAAAGGCATTAATAAAATTTTAACATCTTACATTTTGCCCGAATCTTGAATTGTTACTTGTAAATTAATTATTTCTTCTGTAAGTGATTCAATGAGAACATTTGAAGCTTCGCTATGAAGCCTAAAAGAGACTAATTTATTCCTTTTCTTGAACGCCGGATCCATCAATTTGAAAAGTGGAAGTCACCCTCTGATCTTTATCTTTGATAAGCTGTTCATTCGGTACAACGGCTGATACCAATTAAGGCTTGAAATTTGTTTTGGAAAATAGAATCAGTATCGGTGTTTAGCCATTTTCTGCTGCCTTAGTAATTGTAGAGCAACCAATGTTAAGACTAAATATTTATTATTAAGAAAAAAAATGATATTTCGATGTATAGTTTTGAGTGTAAATGCATGCATATTTCTTTTCTAAGCTCGTCACCAATAAAGTCTCGTTTTTATTTGCACATTTGGTTTCGTTACTCCACTAATCCTATATGGAGGATATTAAATAATTAAAAGGATCCAGAACAAGAAACAGAAAATGAAAATCCATTTGTAATGTGCATGTGGTAACAAAAATCTGAATGTTAAATTTTTAAATTCCTTCAACAAATACCTCCTTTCAAAAAAAAGTTATACACTCATTATATATCTTTAGACAGGCAATGGAATCGTTTTAAAATATTAATTAGATTGAGTTTTAAAATTTTTTGTCTCCATCTTTAATTTTTACATCAATAATAATCCGATTCATTGAACGAATTTATGATATGGGTTAATTATTAGAGTCAGGAAATACAGAGGCAGATTTTTTTTTTTTTCAAACTATATATTCTAGATTCTTTTTTAATTATTTTTCATAAGAAGGATTGTCATGAATAATAACAACAATATTATTAAATCACAAAACATTATCGTAGCTTCATGAAATTTTTTAAGTAACAAAATCAAAGATCTTGTCTAATATGACATATTGCACATCCAAGTCTTTTGGAACTCTATTAAGTTAATTTTCATCAATCTTAATATGTTTCAATCCAATAATACATTTCACCTATAGATTTGTTAATTTTCATAATTAGTATGGTTTGTTTAATCTTATTAATATTTTTGTTCAAAAACTGATCTTGTGAATACATTTTGAGTACCTTGGGGGGTTAATTGAGACTACAAGGTCCATTATAAATATATTTTTTCAAACCAAACAATGGTTGCACAAATTGATAATCATGTGGTTTATCTACATATTTGCATTTAGGAATAAATTTGGCGATTGTGGATAACATTAATCACGGTAAAAAGCATAGTAACGTTTTGAGCTTTTGATTTTTAATATTTGAAAAAAAAATCTTTATCAATCAATCAACATAATAAAGAATGCCGCAAAAATTAAACACAGGTCCTTGTGGAATAATCGCTTGTAATAAAACCAATGTAAAATTTAGAAGAATTACACCGCTTGCACTTAAAAAATTAAAATCATCACCAGATTATGAGGACGTAAGATATCTAAAATTAAAAGATCAAATTTGTCATAATCATTATATGCAATATGTCGAACCTATTCAACGTAGACGTCCGGATGCATCAAAGAATTCTTCGAAGAGATGAAGATGAAAATTTGTAATATATGACTTTATATATTTTATATAAAATATGTACAAAGATGTTATTTTAATATTAAATGATTTAATAATTTTTCTTAGGTGAATTCAAAAATAAATAAAATCCGATGAAATAAAATTTTACAAGATATGAATTTATTATTCAACACTCAACGAATATGTATATATTAACAAAAGGAAAGAAAAAAAGAATATTTTTTCCCCAAAAGAAATTAATCAAACCAGATAATCACATAAAATTAATTTCAATAATAATAATTAAAAAAAATAAATAAAATATTCAATGAAAAATATTTTTATTATTTCAAGTAACCATACACTACCTCCCATCATCATTTTACCATTCATCTTTATAATAATAATAACAAATCTTATTCAATCTTATCAACATCTGTGTCACTAGGAACCTTTTCTTCAGTCTCTAAATTTGGGAAGGAATAACGAGATTCTACCTGAGTTGTTGTTACAAGTTCTTTAATTTGAGTTAATATTTCAGGAGAATCTAATATGCTGGAAGGTAATTGAGGACATGAATATGGTAGATGCTGTATATATAAATATGAGAATAGGAGGATTTAGAAAAAAAAAAAGGATTATAATATTAGAAAAAAATTTTTTTTTTTGGTAGGTGGATTTATAAAACAAACCTTTTCCTCAAAACTTGTATGAGATTTCAAGATTGCATAACATAATACATATCGTACAAGAAATTGTCGGAGGAAATCATCTTGTAAAAATCGCTTTATTGGTCTATCTATTAGATTACAAGAATATAGATATATATATATATGAATTTTTGTGTTAATATATACTTTGTCAAAAAAAAAAAATTTGTATAATTATATTAATAAGTGTGATTGATTTTGATTACCAAGATTAGTTATATTAAACAACTCAATGATCTTCGATTCAATCTCGATCACTAAATCTACACATTTTCCCCATGTCTCGGAACTAATTTTTCCAATATCCGAAATAAATGAAAAACCGAGTAGAGGTGCATGAAGAAACAATGTAAACAAACTACCTATTTGTGATGTGTCTGAGCATTTAAATATAGGTTAGAGTAATTAGTAAAAAATATTTTGATTGGTAGAGGGAAGGGAGAATAATGAATTTGGATGTTTTACCAGGAATAGATGAAGGATATTCGGTTGGTGACATAAGACAAAGGAAAGGTTGATTGAACACCTTTGGAAAATTCTAATTAAAAAAAAAAACAACAAAAAAATTATTAAAAATAAAAAGATCACAATTGTAAATAATAATAATAATTATTACATTAAAAGCTTTACTGTTGTCACTATCGATTATTAGAAACAAAGCCTTGCGAGTAAATGGTACCAAATCACTTGGATGTAAACAACTAACTAACACGCTATCTGAATTTTCTGTAGGTTTTTTAGAACTCGTAGCAATACCACCATTATATCCTAATAAATATTTACACGTCCATGAATAGATCTATTATCATTTTTTTTTTACAATAAAACAAAATATCGATTAGGTTACAAACCATTAATTGTAGATTCTTGGTCATTATTTAGAGATTTTGCTCCATCTGCAGAAATGTAAAGTAAAAAGGCTGAATTATCGGTTGTTTCCTATGCAATTATTATTAAATATTTAAATATTATTCGATTGTTATATTAATTAATATATACAATTCTAACATTAACATACTTTAAATGCTGTAGCAATATAAACCATTAATTGACTAAATGTCGGTTTATAAAGGAGATATTTATGAGGGTTAACTCTACGGAATGCAGCTTTCTCATTGCCAGGAGGTGGTACTGGTGCTGTTGGTGTTGATTGTGAGTTTGTAGGTGGATTTGGATTTGGAGGCGCAGTTGAATTAGTAGGCGCGTTTGCAATTGATGCTTGTTCATCAGTTATTTGATCTTCTTTTACAATTCGTTCATTTAATATCGGATTTTCTGCTGATCCCGGTGGTTTATTTGGCACACTTTTAGGTAGTGGCAATGGTTCACGTTCTTATAAATAATAAAACATTAATAAGTATATAATCAAATAATATTAATATTAATATTATAAATATTAATATTAATTGTTGTTACCCAATGATTGTAATATATGATACATGTCAAGTGTTAATTCTGAAAATTTTATTTGGTTTTGATAATTTCCAACCAAGATTGCTTCCTGAAGTTTTAATTTGAGTGTACCATCTTTATCATGTCTTGGACTGCGTTCGATCTGTAAACGACGTGGAAAAGATAACATGTGACCATCTGGTGTCGTCGGAACCAGTTTCCTTTCAGCCTAAACACATATATGTATATGAATGATATGGCATATATAATAATATTCCCAAACAGCATATACGATATATGTGCAATTTAATACCTCTAGAAATGTACCAATTTCCTGTAGCACTAGTTGCCATTCCAACGAATCAACTGGTTTAAAATTTTTTATATAATCATCAACAAGACCGCTCAATTCATCCATAAGTTTTTGTACTATTTCTCTGTTGTTTAGCAATAGACATACAACAATAAATCTTGCATAATATCTTAATTTCTTGATCATTAATGCTGGACTAAATAATATTATTATATGATAATTTTGATTGATTGTTAATTAATTTTACAAAAAAAAAGTTTTTTTTAAATTTGTAAAAAAAAAAAAGTACTTTTTAACGTCAAGAATATCTTTAAAATATGCACGTTCTCTAATTGCTTCATAAAATATATAAGATTCATGAAGATAATTTGTTTCGCTTGTTCGTAAGCTTTAATTATAAATTATTCGTATAAACATAACTTCACGTTAATTAAAATAGAACAAATTTTTTTTAAGAAATCCAAAAAACTTAATCAAACATACTAGTAATGATAATAAAGTTGCCCGATCTTTGATGCAATTTCACCAACTTCCCAACGTTTAAGTCCATAATTGTCCTTATTTTCCAATACAAATCTATTTTTATTGCCATCATGATCATTTATTTATAAATAAATTTAAATTATATGTAAATAACATACATATATTATGGCTTTTACCTGTTTTGTTGCTGGAATTTCCATAGCTATTATATACGTTATATTATAGTAATAATGATCATTAACTTTTTCATAATTATTATTATTTTTTCAAAAAAGAAAAGTTTACCTTCGTGTATACTTCAAAAGTTCGTTGGAAATAAGGTTGCCATTGACGTCCACCAGTTGGTGGGAGATCCCTGTTTTTTATATATATGACAATGTACTTTTTTCCTGAGTTAATTTTTATCTTTAGTTGTGCTTTTATTTATTATTATTATTATTTTTTACCTTAAACCAGCAAATAATTGTTGACTTTTTTCTAAAAGATATTGAAATTCTTCTACTATTCTTTGATTATTCCCTTTATTCAATTCAATAGTATCTTCAGTGGAATCTTTTTCATTATTACTAATAAGCTCAGTAGGAGCAGCAGACAAAGAAGAGGCATCTTCCATAACAACATCTTGAAGAGTTGATGCTGTCGATGATATTGATGTTGTTGATTGTGGTGGTGGCACAGCAGCGTTAGAAGAAGGA